CTAAAATACTTATATATCCTATCCGCATAGTTAAAAAAATCTTCAATGAAAATGCAGCCACCCTAATGTACATATGTATGTACTATATTTACATTGGAGTATTTGTTTTTTGAAAGTGTAAGTGAACATTGTTTGCTCTCTACTAACTAAGCCTAGATATTTATTCAACTATAAACACTTACCACCGCCACTGCCCGCACCCACACCAATATCAGTGACCAACGATAACAATGACATATTTTTCATGGCGGCTGCCTCAATGGAACGCACTGTCCGACTTGTGGCATTTGCTATCACATCTTCTGTGCCCGTGGTGACATTCGTCATGCGAACTGAAGTGGGCGCATTTTGCTTTTGAAATTGCATCAGTAGTTGCGCTAGCACGGCTGGTATGAGTGATCTGCGAAATGCAAACAAAGAAATTGCATTGAAGTATGCCTGTAAATTATTGTGCGATGCAGCAATTCATTTGATTTCCTCCATAAACTTACTTAATTATGATGTAAATGAGCGATATGATGCCATCAACTATGGCGGGTAGCCAGAATGTGCGAAGTATTGCATTACGCAGCAGTGGTCTGCGTCCTTTGCGATGTGCGCGCTCCACTTCACTGTACCATTTGCTGATGGGATAAAGACGATAAAGATAATGATGGAGTAGGAATTTAACTTAATTTAAGAATGATTATTTTCGCTCGCCTTTTTTAAAAAGGTCGTTTGAATTCAAGTATGTACTTGGCAGATAAATAAATTTGACGCCCTAAAGTAGGCAACATTAAATGATTTAACTACTTGTGCGCCCATTTATTAATCAATTCACTTAGTTATCACTTCTCAAATGTCATATGAAATAATTAATTAATGCTGCTAATTTCTAACTGTCTTAAGAAAATATGTTTATTGCATCAATAGCTTTCGTTAGGACCAAGGTAATCTCCCTGAAGTATCTGAGCTCAGAGGCTCACAATTTGTTTATGTATTTGTGCCTCATAAACAAGGATCAGGGTAACTTCCTTCAAGGCAGAAAGACTTCACACGCAAGCATTATAGTGCCGCGTTCGGTCGAATGCGCAATGCTTAGAGAGTTCTACTCCCAAGATGCCGTTACCATAATATATATACGCCGACGTGCACCATTGTAGTCTCAGTTTACTTGCCATACGATTTCATACTCCGACCTCCTTTGCGGAGGATTATGGACATCGTTCAGTATGCCGAGTCGAAAGGTTTGGGTCAAATAGAGGGTCTTTTTTGATGTTGCAAGAGTCATAAAAATTGTCCACTCCACGTTATCTACAAGATTGCTAACTATGAGGAAAGAAAGATAGCCTTGTAACAAGGATGCCCTGAGAGCGATTGAGGAATCGCTATTAACGGAAATGCTAGATTTCGATCACATCCTAGCTAACGTGAATGATGTTTGGTATCAGGACAGCCTTTCAGGAAAGTTTGTGCAGGGAACAAAGGATCCTAAATAATGAATGAATAGTACGCTTTGCGGGGTATTACTTACAACTCTAGTCATTTTTTTCACCTTGCTTAGAGGCGTAAACCTATGGTAAAAACCAGAGTGGAAACGAAGCCGAAGATGAAACTGAAATCGCTAGCGATTCGGCTGCAGCTTCGATTCCACTCTGGTTTTAACCTAAGCCTTTTCACCAGAAAATGAGAATCGAATAAAAATCGCTCTAACCAAAACCGTAGCGTAACACTTGAAACGAAGCTGACAAGAGAGGCTCACATCAAGCAGAAGGTAGATCGAGCGCTGAAAGGTTTCGGATAATGTTGGCGAACTTTAAGTAAGATTTGTGGTCTGAGGCCGATCACCCCATACATATGCTGCTGTAGGATCGAATAAGAAGCAATCTTTTGGATTGTATCACGATGATAGGAGTTCAGAGCACAGATATTTGTTTAGAAGGTTGGTAAATCAATACCCTTTTTGTTTGGTCCCGTATGACAAACTGATACCTGGTGTGACTTTTGGAAAGAAGAACACCCAGCTTTCCTACGAGAGAGCCATGAAGAAATACAAGCACTTTCTTGGAGAACTCAAACTGAAAATGCTAATAAAGCTTGATGGCATCTGGGGGGTATCTCCATACACTGGGTCGCATGTACTGAAAAATGACAAACTCAGGGCCCGTTGCAAATAACAATAGGCACGGTTATTCCATTCCCTTCAAGAGAAAAATCTTAACTGATAATGGTTATTTATTTCTCTGACCCAACTATACGATGACCACATTGCCTCAGGTTCCAACAGCCTTACTCTTCTAACCAGGCACTAAACACTTAATTTCTTGATGGCGCATATTTTTTAGTTTGATTCTAAGTATTTCATATTTAATTTGTATACTATTTTTTTTCTTTTTTAGTAGTTTTACTTACTTTTCTAAACGATCTCCTAAATCTTCTGAACAATCTTGTGGTAGGCACTGGGTTAAGTCATCGGTATTTAAACCTTGCTTGGACCCCTTATAGAGCAATGGTATGGCCCAAACAAAGAGTAATTGCGAAAATATATTGGCATGACGGCGAGGATTCAATTTTTCCGGCTTGCGTGAGCTGTCCATTTTGCGTCAATGATCACAGTATTGCTAAAGCTGTAATGAAAAGAAAAAAGTAATGGTATTTTTTTATGCTATAATTACTTCCATTTTTTTTTACAAATATAAGGTTCTTTGCTTCCACCGTTTACTGTTTTTGTTTGCACATGCAAATCAGCTGATCGTTTGACACTTTTCATGAACTTACAGGAAAAGAAACTCCGGACTAAATCCTGTAACTTTTGACTAGGAACAGTTGCTCAGTTACTCTCTCAAAAGTGTTCCCACATACAGGTTTTATGTCAATAGGAACGACTTCCTGTAAGTTCTGACTAAATCCTGTAAACCGGACTGCTATTGGAACAGACTGTTTATTTTTTCAAGCTGAACATTTGAAAGCATAAGCAGAGGCGCATTTCACAACCACTTTCGGTACTTTCCTGTTCATGCGTTTCTGCCGCACACTTTAGTGGAAAAAAACGGATCGTCAAAGTATCCGCAAAAGGAATAGGTAAAGGGACAAAAATACGCATTTCATCAAATTTTTTCCTATTTCGGTAGCGTTTTCGGGTTTTTTGCTGACTGAGGGTCGTACGGCACAAGTATGCATGTACATATATTCATTAGGGTGTTTCAAATTTAGGCGATATTTTTTTTTCTCTGTGCTACCTGAAAATCTAATACTTTATAGATAAATAATAAAAAGTTATGCCGTTAAAAAAAATTCTAAATGCATTAATTTTTTATTTTCTATAAAGTATTCGATTTTCAGGTAGCACAGAGAGAAAAAAAAATCACTTAAAAATTAGACATACATATTGCTGACGAACCCATGCAGCCTTATCTTTTTTATTCAAGTTTTAGATTTTACCTCGTTAGTTATCATCATAATCTAAATAAAACATAATTAACAAATGAAGAGGACTTTATGATTAAACGACTGCTGTCAGTCTGAGTGTCACCAAAAAAAAATTCAAATTGTTTAAATTGTTTCGGCAAGGAATGGCAAATCTTCGAGTGTATTTCTACCTTTCTACCATGAAAAAACTTCTTACAATACCATTCGAACGTTGCAGTATAGTTAGAAGTTCGGCTGCTCCATTCCAAA